AACAGCTTTCAAAGAATAAAATTCAGTTAGCTAGAAAATGACCCACACTGGTCATGTGAAGCGTTTTCGTCGAAAAAATGTCCCGGAGGAGAAGCAGTACAGTAGGCCCGTCGCGCGGCAAGAAGGCAGGGACGCAGACGGGTTGGCTGAGGAATCGCAGAGCGCGCTGTGTGATGTGGAGCGTACTATGGTACATTCCATTCAACTTGACGCAAAATAATTGCGTTACGCGTTGCGACTCGTCCGCGACCCGTTCTCGTAGCGAGACGGGCCTCCTGTCGGGCACCTTAAAAATTATGACCATCGGACGTGTCGGCCGCGATATGAATCACTGCGTTGATCTGCGCCGTCACTTCTTGTATGTCCCTGGCCTGGTTGACTCATGAACTCTTACCCTGCCTATAGTTACTTATTGAAATGATTTCGGAGTCCTTCCTCTTCATTGCCATCCCAGATAACGTCTCATTTTCAATTTTGGAAAAACAACAAAGAATTGAAGTCAAAAGTCTAATGAGCAAAAATCTAAATACTCGAATTGCCAATAATAAAATACGGTCTTCATTATAGGGTTGCCAATTGAGGCCGATTACAGTGGCTTGCAAGATAGTGACGATGAATACCACTCCATAATGCAGGTTAGTCTATAGAAACCATGAACCCTAAATAATTTTGTTGAATAGCTTCGAAACTAATAATAGTTTCAGAAGAAATCATTGGATCTTCCTGTCCCTGAAGCCGAACATGTCTGCCCCGTTACCATACTGAAGCGGCATCGACCACAATACGGCCACAGTAAGTGCTGACTTTACTTCAAAGGCTGATTTCACGATGAGAAGGCAGTTCATTAAAAATAAGGGTAGAGGTGGTCAGTGGTGTAGGGATGAAGAAAAACCATGAGAAACGGCCCAGAACCCGAGAAATGGGACCCCTTCCTTGCCCGTTGATTTCCGCATTGATGCGACTCTCATCGGTGCTGCCCTCTTCAACGCTAACGCTCTCTCTGCTGAACGGCTAGAGAATCACACAGCTAGAGGGAGGCGTGCCGCGCCGATAGCGCCGCGGGATGCCATGCCACGTGGCCAGCGGCGTATCCTGCGCTGCAAATTGCGTGTTGTCCCACCCTTAGAAGGGGCGGGGGTTGTGTCCACTAGATTAAGTTCCACTCTTCGAACGTCGATCTATACGTGAATTCTAATCTTAAGTTAGCAGGTAAGGTTAGAAACTAAAAAGCAATGTTTTGAGGGCTAAACTCAACGGTACGTAATGCTTGTAGTTTAAAGTGGCTAAATTTGCTGCCCACGTAAAATTAGTAGCAAAAAACAAAAACTGGATTTTGGAAGTGAGCCTTCCTAATCGGTACAAAGACAAAACCGGCAAAACCACTTTTTTGAGGGGTACGATGTTTTTGTGATACCTTTGTAAGGTTTTTGCGTTCTGAAGAATTTTGAATCTTTCTAGAAGGGCTTTATTGTCGTAAATTATCTTTGGTAAAATTGCCCTCAACTATTAGATTTCCTCAACTTATACTCAATGCGGATTGATGTGACTTCGTAAGGTAGGATAAGTGACGATTGGGAGGATAAGCGGCGAGGGAACGATTGATAGATGCTGGCGTTGGTAACTGATGGAGATCGAGAAAGCAAGATTATTCGGTTGAACTTCACTTCTGTTTCCCTTAATCGTGACCTTGAGACTACTCTGACTAATTCTTAGCGAGAATTGAGGGAGTGGTTGAGGATGGATTTTTGCCCCGAAGAGGATGTTTGCTTTGTTGACTCCGAAGTCTGATTTCGAAGGAACTAAAAGGAGTAATTATAAATAAGTGAAAGAATCTTTCACAGGTTCTTTGATAGAAGAGTAAACAGCTTAACATTGAATGGAAAAGAGAAAATATGGAGATTCTGGTGCCAGCACATAATCATAATAAAAGGCATAAAGGATGGAGCGCAGTCATCGCACGTATACTGACCAAGTACTTCGGAAGTGGGCAACGGCATCGTCACTTATTTGAGCTGGTAGGGGTGGAAGTCTTGGTGTGTCTGGACCATGATGATTCCAGTTGATTCCAGGACAGTGTGGGTGGCTAAGCATCCCTTCTTCCCTTCGCTCTCCTACAATTCACCTCCCGCTTCTGACATCTGTACCTGACCAGCAACACTCTCAGAAACCTATGTTTTCATCTTTTGATCCGTCGTCTTCCATATAACTGGAATGTTTTAGTGGGCAATGGAAGCTATGTTGAAGTGCAACAAGACTCTGAACGCAGCTTTGAGGCGACCTTTGTCGAGTGCACTAACGGTCAACCACAGACCATCATGTCACTGGGATCGACACGCTTACGTGAGTTCCCAGACAAATTTCCTAGATATTTTGGTTGGGAGTGACATCTTCAAATATCTTACCGTTACATTTAGGTATTCATCAGAATGTGTCACATTGTACGAGTGGCGATCGGCTCACGTACGGCTTCCGAAGTCAAATGTCGATTTTGTTCCGGCAATGATCAAGGTTAGCTAGCATTATTTCAGTTCGGCCTGTGATCGTCATGGTTCGCGGAAGAACCGCGGAACCGTTCTTGAACGCATTCCTTTTTGTCCCTATAACAGACTTCAATAAACAAAAGGTTGCGATCACGATGGCCCAAAGGCGCTGCGGTTTTGATATGTCATTGAACGTCAATGGTAAAAGAGCGTTACGAGGCGGCCCCAATCGCACGCTGAGGGTTCTAGTCCAACAATGATTTTCAATGACGTTAAATTAGAAATTTTGTTTCTGGAAGACGTTTTCACTTTCTTATTATAGGTTTTCTACGCAAAAAAAAACCTGAAATGAAGCGGAAGTGGAGATTCTGCAGTGCAATGCAGCGCCATTGCAAAGGCCATGACCCATAGGTTAAGCTCCCTCAGCTCAAACCCTGCCTGCCTTGGTCCCCTCAAATTCGGTCAGCTGATGAATGGTATATTGTAGGATAAAAACATTGGTTCGTATGTTCGTGCGCCCTCAACTTCTCTATACCGGCCAAATCGCATTCAAATGCCATCACGATTCTGACGGGTAGTCGAGTATGTGGCATCACAAACAATGTTTATGAGTACCGCAGTGTGCCTTATCTTTTATATTTACTTTTAGTGGTAGAACACGGAAGGATACGGTGGTAGAGAAGAGGGGGATTGGATAACAGACAGGATGCCCGTCGTGCGTCGAGATGGCATAGACGTGACGGGTCAGCAGGCGAGCCACAGCACGTATGGTGTCGATTTAGCTCCAGGTTAAATAGATGTACCATATCGCACGGTTTTGTTGTGGTCTGTCCAAGATTACGGTATTTTTCTTAGGCATACTTCAGCTCCTTCGCCTCCGTCAAAGCCTGGAAAGTCGAAAAGCAATACACCGATGCGAAGTCAAAAAATCCTGGTGATAGCTTTCCAGCCTACTAAGCCAACAGGCCAGCATCGATTGATCAAGAGTGCTACAAGGCTTACCTAGATCTTTGTCGCCGAGGCGCAAGACCGACCTACCCAAGAAGCAGACTTCTGCGCAGAATGAGCAAGCCTATCTCCTCTTCCTGATCTCACCGAAACTCAAGCTTACAGAGGTCGAAGGAATACGCCAGATCGCGGGCGGGTTCCGGCTCCGCAGTTTTCTTTCCTATTGGTTTTGAGGACTCTACTAGCAGTCCAAAGCGCCTCCAGCGATTTCCGCGTGGAGATCTTCGCTTCTAGAGCCAAGACGGGAACTGACACCGTGAATGCAACCCTTATGAGACTGACCCCGAT